GGTCCTTTTTTTTTTTTTTTTTTAAACTGGAGTGTCCGGGTCAGCTTGCGCATATCTCAACTAATTATCGGAATCTATTGAACACTCTACAAGTTCAATGGGCCAGATAAATTACAAATGTGGTAGGCAACCACTTGGTGAGATTCAAACACAAAACATCTGGGTGATCTAAGGTCTTGTCATATGACTACAAGCCAAGTGGTTAAATTAAGTGTCTATTGATTTGTATGGGTGGTGGATTAGTATATAAAAACTAGTAAGATTAACACTAACAATCTGAACTAGGGTTTTATGAAAGAAATGCGATAACATCTTAAGCCTCCAATTCTCACTGATAATGTCTTTTAAATTCACTGGTCGCAGACGTTGTGTAACTTGTTTTGTCCATAGATGGTAAGTCTATTCATCTTCTTGATTGAGAGCTTTGAATTGTAGACTTGTAATATCGAAAACTTCAAGACTACAATATATTGTAAGGTAGTCGTCGACTACAAACAAGACGTATTTTACATTTCAGACGTAAATTTGATATTATCACAACAATATCGAGAGCATCATATTCAGAGATATTTAGAACTAATTATGTGCCTCTCGGTTGCTAAAAATACAAAGATAATTTTTTTATATATACATATATACTAATAAAATATAATTAAAATTAAAGTTTAAAATAATATTTCCCCTAAGGTTTCATTGAATAAATATTTCCCCTTCAAGTATTTGAAATAACAATTTATTCCATTCCATCAATGTTCTTTACTAGTAATTACAATGAAGGTCCCCAACCCCTTCTTCGTCATCGTCACTAAAAATTGTCAACCCTAATCATGAATGAGATGAGTTCACTAAGATAAGTATTGTAGGTGGAATTTAACGTAACATAACATTTATGATCAGACTATTTTGATGACTGTCATGGTGGCCCTAAATTATGTTCTGTTTTGGTGGAGGGAAATAGGTGCAGGCTATGATAGTCATGCTGTGTGCTTCTTTGTGTGAAATGGGCGACGTTTTGGCAGGCATGATAATTGTTGGACCAGCAGCTTGGGTTTGAGTTTGTGTTTTGCTTTTGAACCTTTTTGCTAAGGCCTTGTTTTTCATTGGACTTAGAGTTAAATGGATTGAATATCCTCTTGTTATCTTGGCCTTTTTGTGGTCTGTCCAAGGTTTTTTCCCTTGAAAGGGAGTTCTCCTTCGTTGTATTTTTTATATTGAGAATAATTTAATGAATGCTTTAGTTTGGCAGTGTTATGGACCACTTTAGTTAAGTTTTTGAAATATTGTACATGATTACATAACATTATTGTGATCAAATTAGAGTTAATATGAATAAGTTGTTGAGAGGGATCAATGGAATTTCTCCTTTTCTTATGTTCTTGAGATTAATTTTTATAACTTGGATACTAGCAAGAAGTTTTGGATACAATTGAAGGTATCTGTGAAGTATTTTTATATAGCTTTGTTGTGCCTAAAAAATTGCACTAATGTCAGTACCAACCAATTAAAGTTCAGGAAGACTTTGTGCCGTCTAGGAGCTACCACATCGCCCCAAGACAGAAGAGATACGGTTGTCACCAACCCAGTAGATTCAAGTTTTATCTATGAGTGGATAAGGACCGCACACTTGTCCTAACTTTATCAAAATAAAAAGATAAGGATTAAGGAGTGGTCCCCACGTGTCATGACAACTCGCAGAAGCACTCATTACATTGACCTAAAATATGTATAAAGTAGCACTCCTCTTCACCAAAAGGGGTGTTGGACATATGAGAGCTAGACATCGATTTGAGCTTCATTATTTCTCTCTATAAAGCAAAGTATTTATTCATCTTTGTATGTCTTACGGACAATATCATAAAAATAGTCAGAGAATAATAAAATAACAGTGGATGTAGGATTTGCTTTAAGTATCCGAACCACTATAAAAACCTCTCTTATCAGTCTATTATTTATGTTTCTACAACATATATAATCTCAGTACCATATTCAAATCTCATGGATCGGTCACACGTAATTTCTACGACTCTCTTAACACTTTGCACATGTGAGTCGTTGGTGTCCAAAATCAAGCATCAACAAGCTTTTTGATAGAAGTGTTGATAGCTTGAACTTGATGCAGCTAAATATCAAACATTTACATATGGTCATTCTGTACCAACACTTCTCCCCTTTAAGGTATGATATAAAAGGCATCTTGATTCAGTGCGAATGTTCATTAATATTGATACTGCTGATCTTTCTAAATTTATTAACTATATGAATTTATTGTAAAAAATAAATACGCGAATCAATAACTGTATCCCTTCAGCTCCATAGCATTTGATGTCTTATATTAAATTCTACTGATTCATTTTGTTGAGCATACATCATCCTTATGTGCATTTTAAGATTTCTTGCATGTGGAGATGAATTATTAGATTTTAAGACTTCTTGCATGTGGAGATGAATTATTAGATAGTCCTGAACATAGTAAATTAAAGTCTATGTATTACTCAAAAGGATTTGCTAGATTGATGTTTGGGAATATTCTGGAAATTCATGCTTTATCATTTCTATCTTTGCAGGCTACTTCCTTATCATGTGGTAACAGACTATGAAGCAGAGGAAGATGATAGAATCCTCGATTCTGTCACAACATTCCAAATGCTTTCTTGCTCCCAGCAGTGGGATAACAACATTGCTGCCAAAGTTGCGGAGTTCACAGGAACATTGGAGAGACAGGCCCTTGCTTTTAACATAATAACCCTCAAGTGAGCTATAGGTGAATTCTGATGTGAGGAGAGGTTGATGATTGAGCAGACGCTTCTCCAAGAGGAGAAAAGAGCCCATACTGAAACTGGCATTTAGGGCAGAAATAGAACAAGGGAGAAGGTTGGTACAGAGGCTCATGAGGCTAGGTTGCAAATGGATTGCAAATGGATGCGATGGTTCAAGCAAAGCAAGTCTCGAGCTGAGTCTCATGGCCGTGATGAAATGATGGCTCGAGTACCAATAAGGGGAAGTGCACTTGGTTCCCAAGGCTACAATATTGGTGATGATATGGGAAAGCAGGAAGAAGGTGTTAAACCAGATGAAATGGTGAACCGTAGGGAAGCAATACACAGATGAGAAGAAGCCGTCTGAAGATTTCTTAAAATTTTGATTTGAACTGCAAGTGAGTCCATAAGAATTCTTAACCACGACAAGGGAAATCCACTTAATCTAAATGACGTGAGCTTCAAGTTAAATTTGGTAGATGAATGTCAAATTTTTCCCTGTGAACATATAAATCAATGTAAAGTGGGTATACATTTCAGAATTATTATTATTTATTGTTGGTCAAATTCTTTTATATATTTATCTTAATATTCAAAGAGTTAATGACATTTTGATCCCTAGGTGCAAATGATAGGGACTAAAACGTAATTGACAGAGACCAAAATGTTACTAAAAACTTTTAAAAAACTAAACTTTACTTAAACCAAACTGTAGGGATGAAATTTATTTTACCATAAATAGAAGTATCAAGGTTTTATTTAAAAGACAATTAGTTAAAAATCATTAGGGGTTTCACCTGTGAAATTTATCAAAGCAAAATAATAATAATAATAATAATAATAATAATAAAAAGCCTTCATATGTGCTTTTCTCTCAAATAAATGCTACACTATTTAATCATAGATAGTATACTTTGTGAATAGTGTAACTAATAATAATAATAATAATTCTCTAATTAGGATTGATCTGTTATATATATATGTGTGTGTGTGTGTGTGTGTGTGTGTGTGTGTTAATATAAAACATTGAATTTATTAGAGCATACATCTTTTTATATTTTTATTATAACTATTTTTTAAAACAAATTTTTATTATTTTCAACTGAGAATGCTATTTATAAAGCATCCTTCAATTAATATAATAAAATATCTATTTTACCCCATTATATCACTTATAAAAATCAAAATAACTTTCTTTTTCTTCATTTTTATTTTCTTTTCCTTTCATTTTCCGTACATGTATGAAAAATCTAATACTGTTCGCAGTGCATAAGGATGATTTTGCCAACATTCTAGGTTTTCAATTTCCACACCATATAATACCCCGCCATTTTATAAAGTATAGCAAAAAAATTCGCCCTTTCATTCTGAATTTAACCATTAATATTACGAACATAATAGGGTGCGTTTGGCTTATTATTTATGCCCATATTCTCAATCTTATTCTCCAAATAATGTTTGACACATTATTCTAGAAATATTATCATATTTTTTTAATTACTTTTAGACCCCATAAGGTTATTAATTTCATTAAATACCCCCTGAAAAAAGTTTAAAAATTAACAAAAACACCCCCGTGACCCATACTTGCCAGATTCCGGCAACCACTGTCGGTGGTAGCCAAAATCTGCCACAACGGTGAATTACCGACCGGAACTGCCCAGTAATTCACCGATCTAGCCTTTCCCAGCCAGATCCACAGTGGATCTGGCCAGAAAAGGCTAGATCTGGCCGTCAGTAACAGCCAAAGAAATGGCCATCGTTGATGGTCAATGACGGCCAAATCTTGGCCATCGTTGACGTACATTGACGACCAAAGATGGCCTTGTTTGGCCTTTTCCGACCGTCGACGGCCACATATGGCCGGATCTTACCTTTTCCGGCCAGATCCGTGGTGGATCTAGTCGGAAAAGGCCATAGCGACGCCATACCAGCCAGATCCGGCCGATATGTGTGGTTATGCAATTTTCCAGCCAGATTCCGACGGTGGTGGCCAGAATCTGGCACTGTAGGTGGTGGGAGTCTTTTTGTCATTTTACATATTTTTATATATTGGGGTATTTATTAAATTAGCAAACTTAGGGGTTTTTTTTATAAATTTTTAAATTTTACCTCGTAATACTCTCATATTCAATTATCCAATACTATCCCAAAAATCCTATCCAAAATAATAAACCAAACGCACTCATAGATATTCTATGTCACATGACAAAGATTATTTGATTACATCCGTACCTAATATTTTCAAAAAGTATTAAAATGTTCATGTCGTTAGTATGTATTGTGAGTCAATTAGTTTATCTGATACTCAACTAAAATAATTAAATATCTACTTTAATCTTTTATATCATTTATCAATCAAAATTGAAATGATTTTCTTTCCCATTTTCTTTGATTTTTTTTTTTTTTCACAAAACTATCAATCTTAATCATAGGAATGGGAACATAATTAGTTATTCTTACAATGGAAACCATTAATTGGATGAAAAGTCTAATAATATGGCCACAGATTGTATGTGTTGGGATATTATGGCTCGCTTTTCTATTTGTTCCCGTGTGAAATTGTATGTCTTTAGGAAAACTATTTAATAAATAATACAATTGTAAATGGGAATAAAATTTAGGAGTCTTAATAGGAATTGAAATATGAATCTTATTAGAAATAGAATATCTCATATACTATCTATCAATATAGGGGTGAGAACCAATTCAAGGTTATGAAAGAATTAGAGAATGTTAGAACATAAGGTATTTGATGTAAGGGTTATTAAACACCATAGGGATAATGTCTTAGAAATTGGGATTGTTTCCACTCTAGGTACTGAGTTGAACGTGGTTAGAAACTAGGATTGTTTCCATTCTGTTTCATTAAACTATAATGGATTTCTCTCATCTGTGAATATAAGCAGGTTAATCCAAACCACATAAATATCGTGTCTCTTAGTGTGAAGTGATATCATTCCTATGTTATTTATCTAGAATGTATGTTTTCTGCTGTATGATCTCCTAACAAGTGGTATCAGAGCTCTAAGTTGCGACCTAGGGAGATAAGTTATTTCGAGATGATGATGCACATAAGAGATAGACTACAACAAGTTTAAGTTGTAGGTGGAGTGGTTCTCAAATCATGGTGGCAAAATTTGACATGGTTACTGTGCAACCTGGTTCGATGCTAGCAAAATTTGACAAAGTTACTCTATGACTTGGATGTTGTGATGGTGGAGCATTGTCTTCGTCATGTTCATTGTTGTGATGGAAAATTCTCACGTTTATTCCTATGATGGAAAACTCTCACGTTCATCTCTTTGACGGAAAACTCATCAACGTGAAGATTGTTGAGATATTGTGGCTCACTTTCTTATTTGTTCCCTTGTAAAATTATTTTTTATTTAGGAATACAATTAGAAATATGAATATAATTGTATGAGGAATTAAAATAAAATTCCTCTTAGGATTTAAGTCCTATTAGGAATAGTGTCTCATGTATTATCTATAAAAAGGTGTTAAGTCCTAGAGTTAGAGACAACAAAAGAATAGAAGGCAAAAACACAATTAGAGAGTGAGAGCCACCAAATAGGGTTTAGTGAGTGAGTTAATTTGTGAGGCTTGAGAGTCTCTTATAATTTTCCTTCTTCTTCAAAATGAAATTATGTAGCACCAAGTGGACATAACTTTCATACGGAGAGTGAATCACTATAAATCTTGTGTTTATGTGTGGTTATTTTTTTTGTCATTTGTTCGCATTATTTTCGCTTTCAGGAATTTATGATTTGTTGGTATCTAATTAAATCCCCACAACAATTGGTATCAGAGCTCTAAATTGTGACCTCGGGAGATAAGTTATTTTGAGATAGTGGATGCACATAAGAGACAGAATACAACAAGTTTAAGTTGTAGGTAGAGTGGTTCTCAAATCTTGGCGGCAAAATTTGGCATGGTTACTGTGCAACTTGGATGCTAACAAAATTGAACAAAGTTACTCTGTGACTTGGATGCCGTGATGGTGGATCGTTGTCTTCGTTATGTTTATCGCTGTGATGGAATTATGAAAAAAGAAATAGAAATAGTACAAAATTGATAAAGCCAAAAGGTACAAGCAACAAGCATAGCATCCACAAAAGGAGAAGATGACATGTTGATTTATTAGCTTTATTTAATTAACCTAAAATGTAATTTCAATACTTAGAAATTTGTCTATAATTCTGAAGGAACTGTAACTAACAAAGTTAATTCATACTTAGAAATGTGTCTATAATTCTGAAGGAACTCAACAAAATTGTCTGCATATTGATTCTGAGTTCCTTCAGCAATTATAATCTCATTCTTGCTTTATCCCTGTAAACTCTCCTTCTTTCTTCGACATCACCATCTCAATGTCTCCGCCACCGACTTCCTCGAATACACCCGTCTTATTTCTCTCTATTCTATCCCGTTTTCTCCGCAAAAACTCTTGAAAATAATCCATGATCCATCACAAAAGGTAGCAAAACCAATGGACGCCCATAATGGAGTGCTCGATAATTGAGTTTAGCCCACAATGGTCAAGAACGCTCCCAACGATTCATGAGATAATATTCTCAGTTGAGGTGCCCAACTCGTCCACACCACTCCGCGGCCCTCGACTCTCTCCTCGAACCCATCCGGAAGCTCCACCGGATGGCTGCTTTCTCAGACACCCAAAGGAAGGGAATCCGGATAGCTCTAGCCCTCGGGCAACTCAGTGAGGTCTTCTTGACTTGGATTTATCTCGCTTCCTAAAGCTACATAAACCACAGAACCTGTGCGTTTTGTTTGCAGCCACTCGCGATTAAGCCAAGAATAGCTCAGTTACATTTTCTCTGTTATCTTTCCGAGGGGCGGTAATAGGCCGACGGATACAATTGGTTTACCATGAAGCTCTCCCATGAGGTTTAACCATTCCGATTCTACGCTCCATGCAGCTCTTATAGCTATCACATCAATCAGCTATCGCCGATCCGAAACGAAACAAGTTCCTTACTCCGAATCGTCTTCTTTAAGATGAACGAACAGTTTTTCGCTCGTGGAGGCGAAATGCTATCTCGGAATGAAAACGGTACCCCATTCGGAGGAACAGTGTACTCTCCGGCTTAGTCCTGGATCGTCGCCGTTGATCATTGCCGTTGTTGATGATCCGAAGAAACATATGACCAGCTGGGGAAGATACTGAAGTAGGCGCAGGAGCGGAAGTTATGCCAGCATGGAGTATGGTGGTAACCAATAAGGAAGCATCGGTAATGATCCAATCAGGAGTACAAGTTTGTAGAAACGAGTAGTTAAAGAACCTGGAGTTATCAGAGGACATTTTGAGGTATTGAACTTTGGAAAATGGCAAGTCAGTGGTGGCTTCTGCGTCTTGAGGGAGTTATCTTGAGCGGGGAAAGTGGGGAGACGAAGTTCATGATGGTGATAAAATTTGGAGGGATTTTGGCAAGCGTTTGATGTTGTTATGGAGTTGATATGAAAAAGACTTTGTGATCCTTTCCAGCAATGTGCTTGGCTAACCAAAGAAGGGAAGCATGTGACCAAAGGCTGCATGGAAACATGGTTATGTGAAGCTTTTTAGGCGTAGCCATGGAACTCAAGCTGGAGGAGTTTTTCTTTTTTCGTCGAGAGAGATGGCAATGGTGTTTGGCTCATCAATTTCACTTCCTCGGGCGATAACACAGCCCCCTTCTAAGATGCGTGGAAGAAATTTGATAAACGTGTGGGTTTTTCGACCTAATTGATTGACACTGGTCACCATTACACTTGTCAATTAAGGTAATCAATTAATTGAACTGAACATAGAAGAAAACGAATCATTTTATTCTTAAGAAAATTATTCAAAGATTAAATAAAATTTAAACTAAAAATTAATAGAAATTCGTAGCAAACATCCTTGAGGTAGTATTGTAATTGAGCTGAATCGAACGGAAATATAATAACTGATAACAGTTTAAATTTTCGTTCATTAATGCCAAAATATTTATATTTTTTAGAATTTCAAGCGATTTTGTTTCATATCACACATTCAAGGATTAGCGACATTAACTGAAAAAAAGATTTGTAGTAATTGGATGGGCATGAGATCAAGGATTCAGACATAAAATACATAGGGCGCGTTTGGACTTGGTGTACTACATTGGATTGGACTAAATTTCACATTACATTGGATGAACTGAATATAACTAGACATTAAATTCAATATTGTCAGTGTTTGGCACAACATCGAACTAAAATATAATTATTTATTTAAATAAAAAATTATTTATATAAAAATTTAAATATATGAGAAGAATACTACTCATCTCATAGTTCTAAATTCATATTGCATAAGCGCAGAAAATTCTTTTCATGGATTCGGGTTGTGCATATTATTTGGAAAATGGTAGGGTAATGGTAATTTCTCTTTTTTTTTTTTTTTTTTTTTTTGTCTTTTTAGGGCAATTTGGTCTTTCTAAGGCAAGACTGATGTAAAGTGATGGAAAATGTGTGTATATAGTAAGCTTGCATGCATTTTACGGGGATTCTAATGATTTTCATACAATATGATATGATAAAAGAGGATTGATTGATTTTAAATAAAAATAAAATTTATCCAATCATCTTTTGCACATCATGTTATATAAAAAATTTTATGTGTAGCAACTACTTTCAAATTAATTGACCCTACATATAGCATGAATTTTCTTTTATTTACCTCAAAGGAAATATTTTTTCTATATTTTGAGTGGACACTTTGCTTTTCCTCTAGGATTTGACATAAATGCTAAGCTTGAGTCAATAATTCAGTGGTACATGCACCCAGTAGGTGTAAATATAATTTGCCTTCAGCGTCCTCTTTTTCTTCAATGAGTCACTGAAAACGTGTTGTCTACTCTGTACTGTGCCCTAATCTCTTTCAGCTTTAAATGTCGCATGCCCCCTTCTATTATTCAGAGACATTGTAACTATCCTTTTAAGTCCTTTATTAACAAACTAGATTTGTTGTTTCTATTAATATTGATTAAAGGGTCGTTTCTCTTCTCGTAAAGATATTTTGTTTTGTCTTAATCACTTCAAAAGCTTATTAATTTCTACATGGTTGAGCCTATAATTTGTGCCTGAAAACTTTGGATCAAGATTGGAATTGAAGCATCAATTCTCCTTAGAGACAAAAGGGTTTCGTACAATTATGTATCCTTAAGAATTAATAACACATTAAATAATCAAAAACATATTAATGACACCTTGATATTCCCTCTATATAACATCATAAAATTGACTTGTTGCTCAAAATTATAATCAGAGAACAAAAACCCTATTAAAAATGGGTAATCAACGCAGTTATATTTATCAGTGTGTTATAATGACAATTTTATTTTATTTTTCTTATATAAAAATTGTGGCCACATGAGATGATGATAAACTTGATGTACAAGGAGCACCTCAATTTATAAGAAAATACAAATTCAGAATTAACAGGATATGTTCGACAAGGAGTGTCTTTGTTTTGGCATTATCAAAACATCGTTTTCTCGAAACAAGTTTGGTACAGTGACGATCGACAATCATAGAACCTCTTCTTTTCTTTTAATTTTAGCTTTCAGTTTGGATGATCTTCTTAGCCAAATCTGCACATGTTTGCAATGCTGAGCAGGCCTGTTTCTTAATTACTTATTATTATATTTCTTTCTTCTTCTTTCTGTAATTTGAGGTTTACGTTTTCTTAATTTTTGTACTTTTTGAGGAAGAACACGTACAAAAGTTTGCAGAGCGTAATCCAACTATAAGTAGTTGTCTGGCCATTCTTAAATTGCATGTTATTAATTTTGTAATTTAAGAACTTAAAAATAATGGCTTAACATAATATTTTTTTAGAAATGTCTGAATCATTTACTACTGTCACGAAGAAAAGCTAAAAACATCATATGGGTGTTTTCACATTTTTCTGTGGATTATGGTTATTTTTGTTGTGCGAAAAATACACGTGATGTCAAACACCATTAATTAGACTTTACAAGCATTTAAAGAATAAAATGGTATAGCTGTTAAAAACCCAAACCGCTCAAAGAGATATTTTATATCAATCCTATCTCATTTAAGATAAGGTTAGAAGTGGTTTACACATGTCAGACAATTTGTAAAAGTACTCATTACAATGACCTCAAATGCATAAAGACACCTTTCTTCATGAAAAAATAGGGTTGGACATATGTGAGTTGGGCACAAATGTGAGATTCAACCATTATTTTCTCTGTAAGCAAATATTCTCATTTTTGTATCATTACAGGCAATATCAGAAAAATAGTCAGAGAATAATAAAATAACAGTGAGGTATGATTCGTTTAAGCACTCCGAACGCACTATAAAAATCCCTCTTGCAATATCTATTATGTTTCTTCAATCATATATATCATATTGCACCATAAAAACCTCTGAACATTCACGTGTAATTTCTAAGATCTTTCTTAGCACTTTGCAAGTGTAAGGTATGGTGTCAAAAATCAAGCATAAAACGTTTGGCCAGAGAAAGGGCCTGATTCCAACCAGTTCCCATGTTTTTCTAGCAAGCCTCAAAATCTCACATTTAATGTGGAAATCTGGCAGGATAAAGTTTGAATTGGCAAAGTGATAAACAAAGAGTTGTAGCCTTCGAGTTAGCTTTCGATGGTCTAAGAATACCCAAATCGAGGTCTATGGCTCAAGGTATTGTCAAAATACGAAAGCCTCCAAATCAGATCTTTTCAGATCACGTGGTCAAAACTCTCAGATTGCAAGAATCAGAGCTCTTAGATCGCGTGGGGAGATCGCGCGGGATAGCACTCATCAGAGCTCTTAGATCGCGTGGCTAGATCGCTAGATTGCATGTATCAGAGCTCTTGGATACTTGGCAGATTGCTCAGATCGCTTTGATCTTCAGCTTTAGATTGCACTTTCAGATCAGCCTAGATCGCACGCATCACAAGCTCAGTAGATCGATGCTCAAATCACTCAGATCAACGTGCTTCATATCGCTAGGATCGCACGCATCAGAGCTCTCATACGCTGGTCAGATCACACACATTAGGGTCTCAGATCGCTCAGATGGCTTAGATCAGATCACTTAGATCAGAACGAGCTCTCAAGCTCTCTAGCTTCCAAGCTCTTGAGATCACACGCTCAAGATCGTTGAGATCAGCGTTCAAGATCGTTTTGAGATCACGTGTCA